TGGCCTGTCTCTCCCAGTCCCGCCCCGTTGACCACCTTCTAATTAATTTCCTTCCAATGTGCACGAAACCATGCACTGGGCCTCTAGTACTAAATTATAATAGCCAGTTAGCATTGGTTGAGCCCTACTATATATTAGTTCTTAATGAGTTAATTTCTATAAATGCTCATTACCTCCTCACAAGGTAGAGATACATTTTATGGATGTGGAAAGATTAAGCAACCTGCTGAGGTCGTACAGATCATTAATAGTGATGCTGAGATTCAAATACTGACAGTCTAGCCCTGTAGGACTCTGTGTTGCCTTAGAGTAAGGTAGGAGGCCATTGGAGGATATTGAGTAAAGGAAGGACATCATCAGTCACATGTTGTTTTTTTATGTTTTTATTGATTTCAGAGAGAGGAAAGTAGAGGGAGAGAGAAATAGAAGCATTGATGAGAGAGAAACATTGATCAGCTGCCTCCTGCATGCCTCCCACTGGAGACTGAGCCTACAACCCAGGCTCTCTCCTTTTCCCTTCCTCTCTGAAATCAATAAACATATATTTAAAATTAAAAACAAAACAAAAAAAAGAGCAGTGAATCTTTTCTACAGTGGAAGAAAACACGCCAGCAAAAATATTACCAGAAATGAGGAATAAACCATATTCAGCATCATAATATTAATTGTAAAAAGAGTTGAATGAGTTGGCCAAACTGAAGGTTAAGAGCACAGTCCTCCAAAAGATCACCCTCTCTTCAGATGGGTCACATGTGGCTTCAAATTTCTGGGAGTCCCACAACCACCTTCAGGTTCTATAATTCACTAGAATCTAGAATGACTCACAGAACTCAGGAAAGTCCTGCACTTATGATTACAGTTTTATTATAGCAAGAAAATACAAATCAGAATCCACCGAAGGGTGAGATGCATAGGGGCAGGTCTGGGAAGGTTCCAAACATGAAGCTTTTGTTGTTCTCAGCATGACCGTAGGCAAGGAGTATTGCGAACCAAGGTGTCCAGTTTTTATTGGGGATTTTTTATGGTTGCTTCAATCATTCCCTGCTTGACTCAGCGTTCACCTTCCCTGCCCTCCCAGGAGACTTGACTGATATGCTGTAGCTCAAAGCCCCAAACCTCTAATCACATGACTGGTCTCTCCGGGGTGACCTGCTCCCATGCTGAATCATGCTGTTAGTGTCCACTATCGAGGGGCCCACCCTGCAGACCTTATCAGACTTAGTTGTTCCAATTAATGTTCTTTATAGAAAAGATAATCTTGCATCACGTGTTATAATAGTCGTCTCTTTAGTCTCTTTTAATCTGGGACAGTTTTTCCATTTCTGAATCTTTTAACTTTTATGACATTGGACAGTTTTGAAGCATACAGACCAATTATAGAATATCCCTCAATTTAAGTTTGTTTAATGTTTCTTAATGATTTGGTTCAGGTTATGCATCTTTGGCAGGAATAATATAGAAGTAATATTGTGTTCTTCTCACTGAATTGAATTCTTTAGGATGTGTACCCAGAAGTGAAATTGCCCAATCATGTGGTGGTTCTTCTTTTCTTTTTGTGAGGGACCTCCATACTGTTTTACGTAGCAGCTGCAGCATTGTAGATCCCCATCAACAAGGCAATACTTGGTTAGGATTTTTGCATCTGTAGTCATCAGAGTTATGGGCCTGTCGTTTTCTTTTCTTGTAGTGTCTTTTTCTGATTTTGGTTTCAGGATAAAATGAGCCTCATAAAATGTGTTTGGAAGGACTCCCTCATCAACAGTTGTTTGGAAGAGTTTGAGAAGGACTGTCATTAATTGTTCTTTAAATGTTTGGTGGAATTCACCAGTGAAGCCACTGGTCCTGGGCGGTGTGTGTGTGTGTGTGTGTGTGTGTGTGTGTGTGTGTTTGTGTAGATTTCTGATTACTGATTTAATCTTTCTATTTATAAATCTATTTTTTCTTTCTTCATGTCAGTCTTGGTAAGTTATGTTTGTAGGAATTTATCCATTTTTTTCTAGATTATTCAACTTTGGTGTATGTTCACAGAAGTCTCAGGAATCCTTTTCATTTCTGTGGCATCAGTTGTAATGACTCCTCTTTCATTTCTGACTTTATTTGCATCTTCTTTTTCTTAGTTCATATACCAAAAAGTTTGTCAATTTTGTTGATAATTTCAAAAAACCAATTCTTAGTTTTTTAAAAAAATTTTTAATTGATTTTAGAGAAAGAGGAAGGGAGAGTAAAACATCGACTTGTTGTTCCACTTATTTATGTGTTCACTGCTTGATTCTTTTTTTAAATACATACATATATATATATATTTACATATATTTACATATATCTCTTTATTGATTTCATAGAGGAAGGGAGAGGGAGAGAGAGATAGAAACATCAACGATGAGAGGGAATCATTGAGCGGCTGCCTCCTGCACGCCCCATACTGGGGATCAAGCCTGCAACCCAGGCATGTACCTGAACTGTGACCTCCTGGTTCAACCACTGAGCCAACTAGTCAGGCCAGCCATTATTTCTTTGTGTGTGTGTGTGTGTGTGTGCGTGCGCGCGCATTTTTAGCCATTATTTTTTTTAAATAGATATTCTATCCCTTTCTCTCTTCTCCCAGAAGTCTCTTAGACTTTCTTTACTCTTTTTCTTTGTTCCTTTGACTGGATAATTTCTAGTAACCTGTCTTCAAGTTTGATGTTTCTTTCCTCTGCCTGATTGAACATGGTATTGAATTCCTCTTGTGAAATTTTCAGTTTATCATATTCTTCCGCTACAAAATTACTTAGTGTTTAAAATATGTTTTTATCTCTTTGTTGTTTTTGACTCATTTTCTAGAGCATGTGGAGCATCTTTATGATGGTTATTTTGAATTGTCACATAATTCATATACCTCCATTTCATTAGGATAATTTTCTGGAGATCTATTTTATTTTTTTGTTTGGGCCATATTTCCCTCTTTCTTCATGTTTTGTAATTTTGTGTTGGAATCTACACACATAAAAACAGCTCCCTTTCCTATCTTTACTGCCTGGTTTTGTACAGGAGAGGACTCACAAATGAGCCTACTAGAGATCCTAGGGGGCCTCTGAAATCCTTTGGTGGGGCCTGTGTGTGTGATTTCCCTGGGCTTGTGTGTGCAATTTCTCAGAGGGCCTTGCTGGCTCCCTCTGGTGCCTGTTTGTGGCACTGCAAGTTCTCTGGTGCTACAGCAGCAAGGCTTCCGTGCCCTCTTGTACTCGAATGCCACGAGCCATCCAGAGGATGTGGGCTCCTCATCAACGCCCCACATCAGGTGAGACAGACACCATTCCTTTGTGTGGCCCCATGAAAAGCTTCTGGTGCACCAGAATCACTTTCTGCTCTTCTCCCTCTCTCCTAAAGGAGAGAAGCCTTGAGTTACGTATGCGCCTTCTCCCAGTCATGCCAAGTCGCGTGGGCTGCAGGATGCCACTCTTCTTTATCTTTGGTCTCAGCAGCATTCAGACATTCATACCGCGCCAGTTCCTACAGTGCTGCAAGTGAGGCACGGCAGAGGCCAAGTCTTCGGGAACCCCCACGGAGTTGGAGTGCTGGATGCACTCTCTACTCTCTCCCTCCTGAAGGAAAAGCCAGAGGCCAGGTGTTCTTGCCTGGCACTGAGCTGTGGTGGCTTAGGAGAGGCTGGCACGGGGAAAGTGAACTTGTTCTTCCTCTCCGTTTCAGTGCAGCTGTTTTCAGCTCTGTGCTCCCTTAGAGTGTTACAGCTTCTCAACTAGATTCTGGAACCCTCATACAGCTCTTTCAGGCTGCATGTCCTTGTTAAAGCAGGGTTTCTGTGGCAGAGTGAGGACTGGCACTTTATTCTGTCATAGCACTGATGCCACTCCCTCGTCCCCATACGTCTTTAGACGGCTGGCTTAGAAACTCGCTCACATATTTACTATGACCCTGTATGTTTCCCACTTTTCCACAAAAGACTTTGAAGCCACACTGAGTATAAATAATCACAGTCTGCCCTTGGTAAAGCTACAGCCTGTTCCTTATTCACTTTTCTTTTTCTTTTTCTATCCTAGCAAAGTTTGCCGTTTTGGAATGGTGGGGAAAATGAGCCTGGTAATAGCAATACAGGTTGGCCTTTATATTTAGGTTTCTTAATTTCTAGAGTACATGATGATGCATTATTTGAGACTAAAACACAAGAGGAAGTGCTTAAACTTTCCACATAGGAAGTTCTACAAGCAAAATAGGTTTGTAATCATATTATCCTTTTTATTTTTTATTTTTTAAATATTTTTATTGATTTCACAGAAGAAGGGAGAGAAAGAGAGAGATAGAAATATCAATGATAAAAGAGAATCATTGACCGGCTGCCTCCTGCACGCCCTGATTGGTGATCGAGCTCCCAACCCGGGCATGTGCCCTGACCAGTATCAAACCATGACCTCCTGGTTCATAGGTCAATGCTCAACCACTGAGCCATGCCATCCAGGCCATATTATCCTTGTTAAAAGACTGTATGTCTATTTTAAAGGCTTTAAGTACTGGATAAACAGTAATCAAATCATTGCTAGACTTTCATATTGATGATGGTAATAGTCAGACTTACTATAATGGCAAGTATAACAAGTTTTCTCTGTGTCTAGCACCAGAACATAAAATAGAAAGGTGCTGTTACAGCTGTAAATGGTTAGCACAGACTCTTCAGTCACAGTGCGTGCGATCGAGTCCTAGTTCCACCACTGAGCCAAGTGGTGGGGGTCAGTCTAGTTAACCTTGTGCTTTCTTTTGTGCCTCCGTTTCCTCATGCATAACATGGATATGATGATAATAATACCACCTGCCTCACGGGTTGTTCTGTGAATTGAATGAAGTGATTTATAGATAAATTTTTAGAACAGTGCCTGAAATTTGGGAAGTTCTAGATTCTTATTAGCTATTAAGGGCAGTTGTGATGAGATTATTCCTTTAGAGCTTAGTAACTGTTACAGTTCGTGTTTGAAAAAAAATGGGTGTTCCTTCTCCCTCATTCACAGAGTTGAAACTGTGGGCCAGCCAGACAGAAGAGACAGTATCGGAGTGTGTGCGGAAAGGCAGAATGGATATGACTCTCTGCAGCGGGACCAAGCAGTGTGCATTAGTACAAACGGTAAGAGATAAGTCACTGTCTGTCCTTTGACATGTCTCTATATGTTAATTACTATACTAAGATATGAATCTGTCCCAATATCACACATTTATAGCAGGAGATGAGAAGATATAGGTCTTAATGACATATCCAAATGGCTACTGTGTACCAGGCATTGTTCTGTACCCTTTATAAATATAAATTATTTAATCCTTTTAACAACTTTTTGAAGTGGGGAATAGTATTCCATCCATTTTATAGATGATGAAGGCTGAGCCACAGGGCGGTTAAGTGACTGGAGTTGGGTGGGCCGGGACTTGCTCCAGGGAGTTTGCCTCTGCATCCTGCTTGCATGGGTCGTCTCAATTAAACGTAGATTAGGGAACGAGGGAGGGGGTTTAACTTGTTATATATCTCTAATGTTTGGTCCCTTACTTCACAGTAATCACACTTTCAAAAGTCACTATCAAGATATGTTCATATTTTGTGGTATGGATTAAGCAGCAGGTAGAACGAGATTCTTATTCATTCCATGTGAAACAATCTTGCTATTCCACAGGATGTAATTGTATAACGGAGTCAAGCTTCTGTTGATACCATCCATATGGGAAATGCATAGTCTCTGTTCTAAAAGAGTAGAACTCTACCTAGACCAGAATTCTAAAATGTAATGAAAGCTTTAACTTTCCTTTCTGCCATGAGGATGGGGATTAATTAAATGCATTATCTTTGACCAGTTGGCATTCCAAAATGTTTTCTTTATTTGAATTAGGAAATTAGCTGTGTTCTGAATAATCTATACTCTATTTCAATTCTTAGCTATTGCTCTCAGGTAAATGACTTTTTACCTTAACATTTTAGGTGCAGTTTTTGTAAATGGAAAAGAAATGACTAATCAATTGCCCGCCGTTACTTCTGGGTCCACTGTCACATTTGACATTGAAGCTGTGACTCTAGGATCCACCAATAATAACGAAGGCGGAAACTTCAAGCTTCGAGTAACTATTAGCTCAAATAACAGAGAAGTGGTTTTTGACTGGGTACTTGATCAATCTTGTGGTTCTCTTTACTTTGGATGCTCATTTTTCTATCCTGGATGGAAAGTGTTGGTGTTCTAAACTTTTGGATGATTGGCTTTGGTTTGCAGGGTTTTAATGTAGCTGTCCTCATCCCAATTTAGTTGTAATTTATTTAAAAGGACATGTTAGATTCATCTCTCAGTTAAGCCATTGGAAATGGAAATTGTTTACTGGATTTATTTTGGAATATTTTAGCAATAAGAAACTTGAATATTATGGACAAAAGCGTAATGCATTTTTATTTTTAGCATAGTGTTAATTAAAATGTCACATCACAATAAAATGAATAAAACAAATTGGCTTTTAAAATATGAGGAGATACAGAAAGCCCTATACCTTTCCACTGTACTTTTATTTTTTAAAAAAATATATTTTATTGATTTTTTACAGAGAGGAAGGGAAAGGGATAGAGAGTTTGAAACATCGATGAGAGAGAAACATCGATCAGCTGCCTCCTGCACACCCCCACTGGGGATGTGCCTGCAACCAAGGTACATGCCCTTGACTGGAATTGAACCGGGGACCCTTGAGTCCGCAGGCCGATGATCTATCCACTGAGTCAAACCAGTCAGGGCTCCACTGTACTTTTGAAAGTTGGCTATTAGAACAGAAAAACTTAATGTATCATTATTTTATTAAATCTCCATCTTTTATGAATCCAGGGCCATGTAAGACTTTAGTATAAAACAACAGGACTAGGCCAGATAGAAGCCCGAGTCTGTAATATACATTCACTTGTGTGTTCTCCACTTAAGTGTTGAATATGTTCTTCATAATCAGGCATTTGTAAGCAGTATTGAATTTTATCACATAGTCAGTATTCTTAAAGTCCCCCAAACATGATAATTTTTTCAGTTTTTGTAATTACTGAGCAAATGTCTATAATAGGCAATGTATTTTCTTTCGTTCTTTTCTTACAGTTTGATTCATGATAGGCTAGAGGACTTTTACAGGGTGAAACTGCTTGTGGAAGTAGTATGCACAGCAGTGTTAGCCACGTCACATGTATGGGACATGTACGTATGCATATCCAGCCACAGTGATATGCATGTTAACATTTTAAAGGTATGAACTGCAGTCCAGTTTAATGTCAGTTTATAAATGGTCTTTTGGCGGACCAAATATAGGATAAATACTTGACCTATTTTTGACAACTTAAATTTGTGTAAAATATTTATTTGAAGGACATACTGAGTGTGTAAAATGATTATCTTAACTTGCTATATACCAGCCTACAGAATTTTTTAATGTGAATTTTTTTTTTTTTTCATTTTTAACAGTAGAAAAGTAGAAAAGCAAGTTTGATATTTTTGTAAGATAATTTATTTGGGGATTCAGATTCCCTGTTGGACAATCATGACCTTTTTTCCCTTGCCTTATATATAAGTAAGTCATCTTTCACTAAAGATGTGCTAGAATGTAGATGCCTCATCCAGCTGTCTAAAAAAATAAAAACCTGAAAGTTAAATGAGTGTATTTTTTTTTTTCTTGCATTGATACTCGAATCCAATTTTAATCTTTTAAGAAGAGGGACTAAAGAGCTTCTTGTGAAAAGTTACGTATACTTATATTCTGTATATAAGTTTACTTATACTATATTCTCTGATACTGAGCACAGTGCCTGACACATAACACATGCACAATAAATGTTTGATTGAATGAATATAGACGAGTTATTTTCTCCAGAATGTCATCTTATTGCCTCATTCAGCAAACATTTATTGAGCATCTTTATTTCTTATCCTCCACAGGAGAATGGCGTCTTATACTTCTAGAATCTACCTATTTATAGAAGTGTCTTAAACCTAACTTAATTTTAGACAGGTGTGGATTTCATTTAATATTTTGAAATCTGAAACTAATTTAAATATTGGGGTTAGGCTTTTGGTGTCAGGTCTAAGAACTCTGTCTAGTTCGAGATCCCAAAGATTTTCTCCTATGTTTTTTCCTAAAAGTATTATAGTTTAACATTTTACATTTAAGTCTGTGCTCCATTTTGATTTAATTTTTGTATAAGGTGTGAGACTTAGGTTAAAGTTCATTTGGGAACATATCTGTTCATGTAGATGTCTAATTGCTCCAGCACCATTTGTTGCAAAGGCTGTCTTTCCTCCATTGAATGGCTTTTGCACCTTTGTCAACAAAAGTTTTTGTTGGGTTTATTCCTGGGTTCTCTGTTCTGTTCTATCGATCTATGGGTCTATCCCTCTGCCAATACCACACAGTATGATCACTGAGCTATATAATGTTTTAAAATCAGGTAGTAGACTGATTCCTTTCTAATTCATCTTTTTCCAAATTGTTTTAGCTATTCCAGTCCTGTTGCCTTACCATGCAGCTTTTAGAGTAATCTTTACCTGCAAAATATATATATATATTTTGCTGGAATTTTGATAGAAAATTGTGTTAAACCTGTGTATCAATTTGGGAAGAGTTGACATCTTTACTATGTTGAATTTTCCAGTTCATGAACACATTATGTTCCTTCTATATAGATCTTTGATTTCTTTAAATCAGCATTTTATTTATTTATTTTTAAAATATATTTTATTGATTTTTTTTACAGAGAGGAAGGGAGAGGGATAGCGAGTTAGAAACATTGATGAGAGAGAAACATCGATCAGCTGCCTCCTGCACATTCCCCACTGCGGATGTGCCTGCAACCAAGATACATGCCCTTGAACGGAATCGAACCTGGGACCCTTGAGTCCGCAGGCTGACGCTCTATCCACTGAGCCAAACTGGTTAGGGCTAAATCAGCATTTTATAGTTCCCAACATACAAGTTCTGTACATATTTTGTTACATTGACACCTAAGTTTGTTTGTTTTTAGTGACTATAAATGGCATTGCATTATTTATTTTGGTTTCCACATGCTAATTCTGAATATATATAGAATTGATCTTTATATGTTTATCTTGTATCCTGCCAAATTGATAAGCTCAGCCCTCCTTCCCTCTTGAGATTTTGTCTTTGATCCAAGGATTTTCTAGAAAGATCTTTTTAGTTTCCGAGTGTGTTTGGAGATTTTCCTGTTATCTTTCTAGCTTAATTATATTGTGGTTGGAGAACACATTCTGTATGATTTCAATTATTTTAAGTTTGTGAGGTTTATGTCATGCCCCAGAATATGGTCAATCTTGGTATATGTTCTTTGGGTACTTGAAAAGACTAGTCTGCTGTTAATGGGTGGAATGTTTTATAAATGTAGATCAGAATTCTGTTGACTGATGTTGTAGAGTTCTACTCCTAATTTTCTGTCTAGTTGCTCTGTCAATTTTCAGAGGGGCATGTAGAAATCTCAAATTCTAATTGTGGATTTGTCTCTTTTTCCTTTCGTTCTGTCAATTTTTGACTCAGTTTTTCCAGCTCTTTTGTTTTCTGCATACCTACCTAGGATTTTTATGTTCTTGGTGGATTGACCATTTTATCAAAATGTCCCTCTATCTTTCTGGTAAGTTTCTTGGCTTCTTAGTTTACTTGATATTAATATAGCCTCTCTAGCTTTCTGCTGATTAATGTTTGCATGATATATATTTTCTATCCATTTACTTTCAACTTGTCTATATAGTTTCTTATAGATTATCATATAGTTGGGTTATGGTTTTGTTTTTTTGATTACTCTGTCAAATCTGTTTTATTTGGTTTTAGACCATTTACATATAATTTTGTTACTGATATGTTGGGTCTTAAGTCTGTCATTTTTCTCTTTCTGTTTTCCGTTCTCTCTGGTCTTAATTTCTCTGCTTTCCTTTTTATTCATTCTTGTAAGGTTACATGAACATATTTTAGAATTTCATTTTGATTTATCTATGTTTTTGAGAGTCTCCCTTTATAGTTTCTTAGTAGTTGTAGGCATTAGTATATACATAATATCTATATATGTATATACATGTATATATACGTTAGTATATCTGTATTATGTATTACATACGTATGTTGTATATAATTTATCCATTATATATCTATATATCTTTTCAGTGTGTTGTCATTATTTTATGTTCAAGTAAAACATAGAATCCTTACCTTTCTTTATTCTTTCCCCACTTACAACATAATTTTCGTGCTTACTAGTAAATATTTTTTTCAAGATATTTTGCTTTAACCATAAAATATTTTAGAAAACTGAAGAAATGAGAAGCCTATTGTATTTACCTATATTCTCTTTATCATGTTATTTCTTTGTTCATAATGTTCCAATATTCCTTCTTGTATCATTTCTTTTCTGTTTAGAGAACTTTGTTTAGCCATTCTTTTAAAGATAAGTTTGCTGGTATAAAATTCTTAGTTTTCTTTCATCTGAGAATGTCTTGATTTCTTTTTCATTCCTGAAGGATATTTTCACTGAGTATAGAATTCTGGGGTAACAAATCTTTTCTTTCAGTACTTGAAAGATATGCTACTTCTCCTGGTTTCTGATTTTTTTAAATCTGCTATTGTTTTTCCTTGTAGGTAAAGTGTCATTTTTCTCTGGTTGCTTTCAGTTTTTTTTTCTTTAGTTTTTATAAATTCAATTATGTTTTATCTTTGCATAGATTCCTTGTTTTCCTCAGCTTCTTGAATTTTTAGCTTATGTCTATGGCCAAATTTGGAAAGATTACAGCCATTATTTCAAGTACTTTATTTCAAGTTCTACCCTTTTTTCGTCCCACTGGTTTCTGAGGTTCTGTTTATTTATTTATTTATTTTTAATATATTTTATTGATTTTTTACAGAGAGGAAGGGAGAGAGATAGTTAGAAATATCGATGAGAGAGAAACATCGATCAGCTGCCTCCTGCACATCTCCTACTGGGGATGTGCCCGCAACCCAGGTACATGCCCTTGACCGGAATCGAACCTGGGACCTTTCAGTCCGCAGGCCGTCGCTCTATCCACTGAGCCAAACCGGTTTCGGCGGTTCTGTTTATTTTTAAGTCTGTTCAGCTCAGGTTATTTCTGTTGGTCTGTCTTACAGTTTACTGATTCTTTCCTCTGACACCTCCCGCCATTCTGTTGGGCCATCTATGAGCTTTTTGTTATTATTTTTCAGTTCTAAAATGTCCATGTGGCTCTTCTTTGTATCTTGTGTTTCTTTGCTAAGATGTTCTATATTCTTTGCTTGAGGCTATTCATTTTTTCATTTTTCAGTGTATTCACTGAAACATTTTTATTATGGTGGTTGTGATGGTTAGTCATATGTCTACTTGAGTGGGCTAAGGGATGTCCAGGTAGGTAGCCAAACATTACTTCTGGGTGTGCATCTGAGGATGTTTCTGGACAAGATTAGCACCTGAATTGATAGATTGAAGAAAGTAGTGGGTGAGCATCATCCAGTCTGTTGAGGGCCTGAATAGAACAAAAAAGCAGAGGAAGGTTGAGTTCACTCTGCCTGACTGTTGAGATGGGATGTGGATCTTCTGCCTCCGGCACTCCTGGTTTTAGGGTCTTCAGATCTGGACTGACATCTACACCACTGGCTTTTAGGCTATCGAATGACATCACTGGCTTTCCTGGGTTCCCACCTTGCAGGCAGATTGTGGGATTTCTCCATAATCTTGTATTGATTTTCTTTTTCTGGAGAAGACTAATACGGTTGCTTTAAAATCTGTCAGGCAACTCTAATATTTGTCAGCCTAGTGTTGATACCCATTGTCTTCATGCAGTGTGAGATCTTTCTGGTTCTTGCTGTGACAAGTGCTTTTCTATTGAAATGTGGACATTTTTGTTATGAGACTGTCAGCTGGCTTTTTGACACCACTTGAGCAGATTGAGGGGAGGGGCACTGCCTCGTTACTACCCAATCTAGGCCATGGTCAAAGTCCTGACTCTCCACCAGGCTGAAACACCCTATCAGAGCGGGAGAGGTGCCTCATTACTGCTAGTGGAAATGGAAGTCCAGGCTCCTGTCACCACAGGGGTAGGGGTCTTCATCATTGTCTGGTGGGGTGAAAAGTTCAGTTTCCCTACTTGGCCTGTAGGATAAACTCCTAGATCAGTGGTTCTCAACCTTCTGGCCCTTTAAATACAGTTCCTCATGTTGTGACCCAACCATAAAATTATTTTCGTTGCTACTTCATAACTGCAATGTTGCTACTGTTATGAATCATAATGTAAGTATCTGATATGCAGGATGGTCTTAAGCGACCCCTGTGAAAGGGTCGTTTGACTGCCAAAGGGGTCGAGACCCACAGGTTGAGAACCGCTGTCCTAGATAGAGTTGTTAGGGCAAAGATTAAATGCATTGTGATTTAAAATCCTTAAATCCACACCAAGAAACATTGATCGGTTTCCTTCCATAGTATCCTGATCCTAAACCTGCGGTTCAGGTATGTACCTAGACCAGGAATTGAACCAGCAATCTTTCGGTGCACAGCGCACTCAACCGAGTCACTCTGGCCAGGCTATTGTGATGCTCTCCCTAGAGCAGTGGTTCTCAACCTTGGCTGCACATTAGAATCACCTGGGAATTTTTTTTTTTAAATATATTTTATTGATTTTTTACAGAGAGGAAGGGAGAGAGAGAGTTAGAAGCATCGATGAGAGAGAAACATCGATCAGCTGCCTCCTGCACATCTCCTACTGGGGATGTGCCCGCAACCCAGGTACATGCCCTTGACCGGAATCGAACCTGGGACCTTTCAGTCCGCAGGCCGACACTCTATCCACTGAGCCAAACCAGTTTCGGCAGGGAATATTTTTAAAATCCTGATTTCTGGGCCTCATCCTCCAGAAATTCTGTTTCTTTGTTACTAATGTTGTGGCCCCACCCCATAACAAAGAAACAGAATTTCTGGAGGATGAGGCCCAGAAATCAGGATTTTAAAAATATTCCCAGGTGATTCTAATGTGCAGCCAAGGTTGAGAACCACTGCTCTAGAGGTTGTACCAATTTATCTTCCAAAAATGTCTTTAAAATTCATCATAGTTAAAATATTTTTAAAATAGAATATTACTTTTGTTCCTTATCTCATTAGTACTAATATTGGTTTTTAAGTTTTATTTTTTCAATTACCACCAGAAATGTTTTGAGTGCCTATTTCCACATTAGCAAACTTTCATCTTTAGCAAGCTGAATCCATCCCTGTTCTTGATCTTACTTTTTTCTAGTAACTTTTATCTTTGGTCTTTTTTGTCTCTTCCTGTCTACAGTTATACCCAAACTTCCCATTCACTCTCCCCCAAATTCTTCCTTTGCCTGTTTCCCTCTTGCTATGGCCCCATTTTTTATATACTCTGTGATTGGAAAAGTAGGAGTTGGAGATATTTAATACACTCATTAAACCTGTTTGCTATCACTTCACCTCCCTTGAAGTTGCCATTTTATTTTCTGTTGTGGGACTGCCTCTTTTTTGGAAACTCTCCTCTCATTCCTCTATACTGCAGTACCATTCAACAGTTAGTTTTTGGGCACTTAATTCACAACAGGCAGTGTTACCTGGACTATTACAATAGCATTCTAGACCTGGCTGGTTTGGCTCAGTGATAGAGCATTGGCCTGTGGACTGAGGCATCCTGGGTTTGATTCTGGTTGTGGGCACATGTCCGGGTTGTGGGCTCAATCCCCAGTAGGGGGCATGCAGGAGGCAGCTGATCAGTGATTCTCTCATCATTGGTTTCTCTCCCTTCCTCTCTGAAGTCAATAAAAAATATATATTAAAAAACAATAGCATTCTAGTACTTCTTCCTATGTAGATTCTCCCCTCCCAAATTCTTACAGCTGTGGCTCACCTAAAATATAAATTGGCTTTTTGTATCTGTGCAGTAAATTTCAACATGTACAGGGAAATGTTAATAAAGCAAGAACAGCTGAACTGTCAACTCTTCTGTAAAGTTCTCCCTCTTTTAAAGTTTTCTACAACTCCTGACCTCATGGAATGTAGTATATAATTTTATTATACAATATCACTTTATAACTATCATTTGTATCCCACTCTAGTCTGAACTTTTTGAGATCCAAGATAAATTCTTTTTCATTTAAAAGGAAATAGCCCAGCTGGCATGGCTCAGTGGTTGAGCGTTGACCTATGAACCAGGTCACGGTTGGATTCCCAGTCAGGACACATGCCTAGATTGTGGGCTCGATCTCCAGTGTGGAGCATGCAAGAGACAGCTGCCGATCAATGATTCTCTCATCACTGATGTTTCTATCTCTCTCTCCCTCTTCCTTCCTCTCTGAAATCAATAAAAATATATATTTTTTAAAAAGAATCCACAACCAAAGATAGATAACTGTTAATATTGACATTACTTTGAACTGTAAGTTTAAAAAATATATTTTGGTATTACCATAAATAACATACTCAAGTTGAAATTGATGTTACTGAAATTGAAAGCAGGTTTCACATTAATTTTTTCTTTTTTTGGCTTAAACAACAGACATTTATTTCTCATTGTTCTGGAGGCTGGTAAGTCCTTTCTCAATTTCAGCTCTGATAGGTGTACTTCTGGATCCTTACTGTCCTAAACAAGTCCAAGTCTTAGTGCACACATTAACAATGCATAAAATAACAAAACAGAATACAACTTTTATATTATTGAACTTTATGTACAAAATCATTTGATTTCAAATAAACATTTAATGTAAAAACAAACGTTCTTTTAAACTGATTTTTTTTACATCTACTGTACCTTTCAAATGCTTTATCATCTTACATGATTTCTTCAAAATCTCTTATCAAGGGTACATATAGAAAAGCATTTTTTTTTTATAAATAGAAACAAAGGGATTTTTTCAGCTCTTATAAGATGACATAAAAAGTTTACTCGACAGAAGTAATTTCATTACTATTTGGGGGAGGGAATCACCAACTTTTTGTGCAAACAATGCTAGCCTTCTTTTAAGCATTAAGAGCATAACTGCTTAAGAAATGACATAAGCAAAATTTCTACACCTACATCTCCCCTAAAATAATCTATTTTTTTTTTTTTTTACATATGTGCACAGCTTTAGCAAATTAAAGCCGGAGAGAAATGCTCAAGATCTGCTACCCATAGGTGTGATCAGAGTTGACTGTAACTCTTCATTTGGAGAGCTTACCAATCAAGGCGTCTGTAATGAAAGCTGCAGTTTCCCTCTTTCCTATCTTTTTAACACAAAAATTAATAACTAAGAATTTAATACTGGATGACAAAGCACATCCACACTATCAGTTAAATAGCCTCACAGTTAAACACATCTTAAAGACCAATCAAATCAGTATTTACATTTTATAAATTTCTGAAGACACCATTAGAAAGCTTATATATCCCTTCATTAAACAAAATAGGGAACTGCATCTGATGGTGGTGGAATGAAATTAAAAATACCTTTATTTACAGCAGCATTGTTCCTTTATAAATAAAGAATATGAAAATGCAATTATCTTTAAGGATAATAAAAAATTGAGGTGATGTTACTCAACCACAGTGCTTGAAGTTGGAATAAAAATCTATTGGTGCTTGTTAATGTGCCAGTAGTGAAACCACTTTCTGTTGGAGAAAATCCAACTGCAAATATGTGCATAAAACACATAACACAGGGCAAAATTGCTCAAAACAATTCAAGTCAGCTTATCTGTACTGGATATTCTAATCGTGAAACACATTACAAAAACATCCTTGTAAAGAAAAAAAATGTTATGTTTTCTGTTTCATTTTTATAGAACATTTCTTCCCTCAAAAGTGGCATCTTCAAAATCTCAAATTCTTCCCTTGGTTTACAATCCTAATGAAAAGATGTGGACAGTTTAATTTTCCATGTTTACCTAACTGGGGGAAGAAAAAAACCAAACTGTAAAACGTTCAAGTTTAAAAAAATATACTGGGTGAGCAATACACTAAAATTATCAACGTAAAATAAATGGTAAGTAATCTTAACATTTCACTGTCGAATGTGAAAAATTAACATCTCAAACAGGCATAAGATGAAGAAGTGCTTTTTTCAAATTGTAAAATCAATTTATGCAATGCAAAATATCTTGAGTGTTGTAATTTTTCATTTTAAAATGATTTCAAAATCAAGGATCAAGGTTTGATTGCAAATGGTAATGCAATATAATTTCACAAAAACCTTCAATTTTTAAAAAAGGGAATCACATACTAATTTTCCCTCCCCAAGAAAATGTTTCACAAAGCAGAGAAACAGCCAGTCACAAATGCAAAAAAATTATAATTTAAATATATGAAATAATTTCTCTATTACCAATTTATTTCATAAGTCAATTGAAGTTAAAAAATACTTTCTCTGAAGTATTGCTTTTCATGCTCAAACAAGAGAATGTTGTAATGACATCAATAAAACTGATATACATGTAATGCTGCATAATGAAGTAGAACCCTGATACAAATATCCTTGTTGAAATCATTTACTTCATCTTAACAGTGCCTGTTTGGAATCTATGATTAAAAAACAAAAACAATACTCTTCCTAGAGGCTGAACTCCCTAGAATGCAATTTCAGTGTTTGTCCACGACACAGGGTTAGGCCGTTTCTTCTCAGAGTTTTTGCTTTTTGCTCTGTTTTGAAACCCCTGAGACACCATCTGTTTCCGAAGCTTTCTCTTTTGAGTTAATTTCACTAAATCCATTTGCTGTCCCATTTTGTTCTTCAGTGATATCTTCATTTGCAGGTGAAGCAGATTCTCCTTTCTCTAGTTTTTGCTGCATTTCACGGAGCTTGGTAACAGCTTTATCTATTGACATTATGCTAATAAGATTAAAGTCATGCATGCTGACTAGATGAAGCATGAAGTTTCGACATAAATTCTTCTTAATTATTTTCTGTCCATAGTTTTCTACAAACAGCATACAGGCGTGATTCATTTGATTGTCAGCAATAAACCTATTTAACAAAAACAACACAAAACATCAATAACGATACAAAGCATTTTTGTCAAGTGGAACAGTGATAACCATTATAGAACACTAAAACTATCCAAATCTAGTAAGCGATGATTTAGCAAGAAGTAACACTATAGTAAATGTGAGATTCAATAACTTGAATGAGCTTAGTATTTAAAATATTTAAAGAGATGTGATTAAATCAGAGTTTAAACAGAATCATTTCTGTTTTTCCTAATTACATACAGCAGTATTGAAAGTATAACATTTTCTCTTGCCAGTAGCACTTTCATTAACTCTATATACACAATATCTCCTTTATTTTCTCGATTTTGATATACTTTCCTATTTCTGAAGCAATGTTTTTCTACATTTTCAGATCACGGTAGACCTCTAAAAAAATGAAGATATCACAACAAATAAATATGGCACAGTGTGGTTGTGTGGTGGAAAGTGAATTGAGGGTATATACAATGAATAAAATTTGAGAGAAATAGGAGAATGGCTCTCAGTTATCCACAGGAACTGAGTGTCCAACAGAATCCCAAAAGACCTGCCTGTAGGTTTTTAAATACCCAAATAGTTTGCCCAACTATTTGCCTCTTTATAATGCCAGTATACAATGAACCCCAAGAATTGTGCTAACACATTTAGATCAAAGAATTAAAATAGAACACAATAAAGTAATGTGACTAAAATTCTACCTTGAAACTGGCATTATCAGGACATAAGGAAAAACATTTAACCCAAACTTCTGCATACATACTTTAATCCTTAGTACCCCTAGACTGGGGGACCAGGCAAACATTTTCTGTAAAAAGCTAGATATAAATATTTAAAGCTATATAAGCCATATGTGATCTGCCATCTTCCTCTTTTCCTTTTTCAGTACCCACTAATCATGTGAACACTATCCTTTATAATAAAAGGCTACTACGCAAATAGACCGAACAGTGGAATGACCAGTCGCTATGACACACACTGACCACCAGGGGGCCCGTGCTAAACGCAGGAGCTGCCCCCTGGTGGTCAGTGCACTCCCACAGGGGGAGCACTGCTCAAACAGAAGCTGGGCTCACAGCTGGTCCATAGCAGCATTAAGGACCCCTCGGGGGATGTCTGACTGCCGGCTTAGAGGGAGCAGGCCTAACCAGCAGTCAGACATCCCCCATGGGGTCCCGGACCTGTGAGAGGGTGTAGGCAGGACTGAGGGGGACTCTTCCTCCACCTCCCCACCCGCTCAGTGCACGAATGTCATGCTCTGGGCCTCTGGTTCTTAGATGAAGGCAGTATATAAAAAAATGCTATAGGCCATACAACCAGACATCTTTATGTACCAATAACCCTTCACTCACCAAGAGTAAGGAAACAAAAGTATTCCCTCCCATTTATTTCACTATCTATAAATGAAAAAACTTTGGATGCTTGTACTATAGAAGAAAATCTCAAATGAGGATCTAATAATAATGAAGGCAGAGAAGAAAATGTGTAGTCACAGGAAAATAGTTCACACAGGGAAGGAGGCAGATCTGCAGAAGAAATAATGCTTTGGAACATGTAGTGACAAAGGCATGAGAAATAGGATTGTTTTACCTTGCCTCCTATGAAATGGTAGTAAATCAAAAAAACAATATTTTATTCTGATTAAGCAATTTTTAAAACTGTGGTAATAACTGTGATAAGTAATTTTCAGGATTTCCAGGAATATAGCACATGGCATTTACTTTTTGTATTCTCTGGCAATAAAAGGAATAAAAATTGGGTCATTAAAAAGGGACATATTAAAAATAAAAATCTGCTGAAGAGCTAGCACTTTCCTGATACGTTCTCTGAGCATCACCATTTTTCTCTATGCAATTATAATACTTTGGATATCTAAATTAACGGAATTTTATATAAGATTCTAACACAAGTAGATTTATAGAATGTGAAGCAGTAAAAAGAATATAAAGGAAATGGAATATTTAAATTTAGAAATACCCTACCCATGCTTCATGACATGGAGATTCCATAGTTTCATCACTTCTTTCTCTCCTTCATTAACATCAGAAAATTCCTCAATTTGCTAAAAATAAAAAAAATTTAAAAAAGAAAACACCTATTAAATGCAGAGAAATAATATAAATATTATTTCTAAGAAAAAATTGTGAGAATGTCAAAAACAGATTTATATAACTAAAAATACCACAACTTATTTATACAGCAAAGTGGCAACGTTTCTTAAAAACCACTTCTGTTTAAGCAGTAATTTTAAAAAGGAATTCCTAAGTTACGTACTGGTTACCTATAAATACAATGAACACACTATAAAATCACAAGAAAATCTGTATTTCTTCACCTGGTAAGTGTTTAAATGAGACAGTTATAAAATGTGCATTCCTGAATTTCTTAATTTAGAAAAAGTTCCTTCACAAAGTCAAAAGTTTAATTCATATTAAACAATTAATAGTTTTCAAACAAAAACCTTTTAATCATAAAATTCTAAAATCATTGTCAATAATGATAACAGTAATAATTACTGTAATGGTTTTTTCTCTTAGCCATTCAGGATCTTTTTCATCTTCACTATCTACTTCCATTTCTTGTGGACGGAGAGGTAAACAAGTATCACTATGGAAATACAGACGATTGTGTCCGCTACTGTATGTTCGTTGCTGTTCTACTTCTCCATCTTCAGATTCAAGAAATTCAGACATGCTTGCTTTTGTTCGTTTTGGCCTAACGAAAAGAAATGTTGATGTAATATCAATTGATAGGGTTCTTTGTATTTCACATCACCCAAACAGATTACATACTTTTCTTAGGGGTTTTGTAGCTAGATCTACTAGGAGCATTATTTAATCCCCACAACCACTGCAGCAATAGTGACATTAACATTTAAAACACAGGGAAAAGCTGTAAGGAGGAAGTGAGAAACCCTTATAGAAGCAGGAGCCAGGGAGGTTGATAAAGCAGTATACCACTCAGAGAATTAGCTACTGCCCCATCTGTTCTTCCACCGTCATCAATAAAATCCAGAGAATAAACTTGTATGACCTTTCTACCTACCTGCACACAAGAATGTGTGTGATAGGCGTTCTCTTTACAGGTCCATTGCGACTAAAAGCAAATCCAGGTTGGCGATGAATATCCTGAGGATTTCCTGCATAGGAGCCATCATAACACTCGTTGATAGAAACATCTATCCTAGCACCTTTTGGATGATACTGTTAACAAAAATGGCAAGGATTTTAGGAAAAGAAAGTATTATTCTACCCTAAGTACCCATCACTCCAATTTAATTAATTTAAAAAGTGCTGTAGTTTTTAGCATGGTGAACAGGAAGTCAGAGAACCTAGAACAAAAAAGATCTAATGTGGCTCAGTTGTTGAGCGTTAACCGATGAACCAGGAGGTCACGGTTCAATGTCCGATCAAGGCACATGCTCAGGCTGTGGGCTCAATCCCCAGGAAGGGGTGTGCCAATCAATGACTCTCTCCCATCATTGATGTTTCTATCTCTCCCTTCCTCCCTGAAAGCAATAAAAAAAATTTTCAAAAAGGGATCTGTGTTAAATCCTGGCTTGTGTAGCTTACTGGTTAGAGCATTGGCCCTCGCAGTAAAGGATAGCAGGTTAGATTCCCGGTCAAGGGCACATACCTGGGTTGCAAGTTTAATCCCCAGCCTAGGTTGGGGCACTTGCAGGGGGCAACCAATCCATGTGTCTCACAACAATGACGTTTCTCTCTCTCTCTCCCGCCTCCCACACTCTAAAAATCAATGGAAAAAATATTCTTGGGTGAGGATTAACAAACAACAGAAAGATCTATGTTAAAATCCTGGTTATGCCATTTATTGGCTTCATAACTTTTTACAAATTATTTCTCATCTGAACAAGAATAAGGAAATCATCACTTAATTCAAAAAGTTGGTGTGAGGATTAATGTGAGTCAATATAGGTGCATTATATGTAAACCGAACCATTCACTGTAATTCACACACACAGCAATCCACCCAAAAGAAGAAATTTTGGTATTTTGTACCAAGTACAATTTTTGAAAGTCAAATTGTCTTATATATCTTAGTAAGAAAAAAAAAAAGTTACATACAACATAATTGAAGATAAACCTGCTGTGGCACAGTTTAAGATGCTTGAGTAAACTATAAAGTTTTCGGCAGTTCAGAGTGCACCAAGGGCAATGTAGGTCATCTCTTGCTTCAGTCTGTTGTCTTGTATTGTTGTTATAAAGGAACTTTAAAATAAAATAAAAAAAGGTAAGCTCCAACTTACACATCTCAAAACTTCTTTTCAATATCCCCTTTAAAAATGGTTAAAACAAATTAAAAGAAAAATCAGAGATATTGTCTTTTTACTTAAACATCCAAAATATTTCATATGTGAAAATGTAAAACAAAGGCATTTCATAATTACTTATGTAACTGGTTCAGCTATGTTTACCTGATAAAATATTCTTAATTTTTGTCGGTTTTCATTTGAAGTATCTTTTTCTTTCCTCGTTTGTAGATCTGTAGTCAATGATTCTTTAACAGCTGAAAATACATACTTTTATATTTAATGCCAATATTTGCTTCTAAGTGAGATAATACATCTTTGTGAAAATAATTAAACATTAAAGATTTCACAGAATTCTACTTGTGGTATTTAGTACCGTTTTTATTCTCATCCTCAGGGGAACAATCCCACTTAATCAATACTCCTAATCATATATTTAGGTCTTTATTGGCAAGAGCCATACTTTTCCTTTAAAAACAACCTCTTGCCCTAACAGGTTTGGCTCTGTGGAAAGAGCGTCGGCCTGCGAACTGAAGGGTCCCAGGTTCGATTCCGGTCAAGGGCATGTACCTTGGTTGCGGGCACATCCCCAGTAGGAGGTGTGCAGGAGGCAGCTGAATTGATGTTTCTCTCTCATCGATGTTTCTAACTCTCTCTATCCCTCTTCTTCTCCCTTCCTCTCTAAAAAATCAATAAAACATATTTAAAAAACCATCTCTTATGTCCTATATCATTATAAAAGTAACTCCAAGTAATTATATATAGTCACTGTAATGTTTTAAGGACTTTGAGGTCAGAGTGTGGTTTAGTGAGCAGATATCCATTGTTGGTTTAACAAAAATTAAGTAAAAAATGATTGTATATTGCCCAGCCAGTGTGGCTCAGCACCCTGAGTGTCATCCCATGCACCAAGAGGTCACGAGTTTGATTCCCAGTCTGAGCACATGCCCGGGTAGCAGGCTTGATCCCCAATAGGGGGCGTGCAGGAAGCAACTGATTGATATTTCTCTCTCTCTTCCCCCATTCTTCCTCTCTCTCTGAAAAATCATAAAAACATATATTTTAAAAAACGATTGTATTAAGCCGTAGCCGGTTTGGCTCAGTGAATAGATCATTGGCCTGTGGACTTAAGAGTCCCGGGTTTGATTCCTGTTGGGGGCGCATGCCTGGGTTGTGGGATTGACCCCCTAGTAGGTGGCGTGCAGGAGGCAGCCAATGAATGACTCTCTCTCTCCCTTTCACTTTGAAATCAATATATTAAAAATATAAAAAATGATTGTATTAATATCATTCCAAATCCAAAAAATAATCACCGTTAATAATTTTGGTATATTTACTTACATACTTAAAATGTTTTTATTTTCTCTGACATAACTAAGTATTTTACAGATACAATTTTGTATAAAATTTTTTTCTCATTTTCTTTTAAACTCTTTTACCTATCTGACTGGCTGGCCACAAAGTATTTTGAGAAGTGACAGAATTGACTTGAGAAATATTTTCTCTGACACAGCCGTTTTTTCTAGCTTTTTAATCTGACTTTTATAATGACTTGCACACAATAAATGGGCATGAGGGGGTCAAAGACAGGGAACTAATAAGTCTTCTGCCTTCTTTAACAGACTTAGACTTGGATAACCTCAGGTAAAGGCAGTGTTCCTATCAGGCAGACACAAAATGACAGATCAGTGCAACCTGGACCTTAACTCAGCAGAGCTAACTACATTTGTAAACGTTTTCCCTCTTAAAAAATGACTCAAAATTTAACCTGGCAAAATTCAGGTTATAAAGACCCACGTCCAGCTCTAATATTATAAAAACACTCTGAAACATTGAATTCAGTTCTACAACAGATACAAAATTTTACAAGAATTATAAAAAACATACAATCCCAAAGCTCTATTACCAACCTGCAATTTCAAAATCCTAAAAGCTCTGAAAACCAATAGTTTCTCTCACGAATTTGAGGCAAAATAATTTAGTGGAAAAACCTGTCCTAAACTGGCATAGGCTATCTATAGACCTCGTTTGGAGGTGTTATATATGACATATATACTACATCATGCTTCTAAAATAAAATAAAAAATAAGTCCCAGACACATCTTACACAAAGATTTTGGATAAAATACTGTTAATATGTGCTTTAACACAAAACTTTACTGTTCTGGCTCATAGTTTGTTTCTCTAATAAATCAAATATTTCCCAAAGAATAATTTTTAGAGCAAATGACCAAAAATTAATCTAAAGCCTAAACCCTAACTAACTCTGCAAAACATTATTTTGACAACAATGTCTTCTCACCAATAGTTTGAGTAGGTTTAACTGAACCAGGCTTGTTTTCTTGATGGAGACTCTCTGAATTTCTAGTGGCAAGAGGCTTGGCAATAGGAGCTGTAGATTTATCATTGGTCTCTCCTGTCCAACGAAGAGTGAACTGTAACGTAGGTCCCTGAGAAAATGTTTCAAATGGAGGCAGCCTCTAAAAAAGAAAAAACATGAAAAGAATAAAGGAAGCTTCCATATAACAAATTGAAAGAAAGTCTAGAAACTTAAATATTTACTAAAAGTTAATTTATAATTTAATTAAATTATAATTAAATCAACAGACTTTTTTCTTGAAACCCAAAATGCCTACATCAATGGCCAGGTAAGTCATGTAAATGTACAGCACAGTAGAGAGCATCGTATTGGTGTTCAAGTTGTCTAAAAAAGACAGCAACTTATGAGCAGTAGCTGAATTATTGCCACACACAAACGGCCCAGCACAGCCACATTTTCAGATTTTTCAAAAGAAGTCAGAAATCCAAGTTCTAATGGGGAATTTTGCCATTTTTATATTGGTAACCAATTTAGAATGTTTTCTTCTGGACCAATACAAAAGTTTTTTTAACAAAAGTTCAATGTGAAAATGAACAGGACTCGATTTTTATATTGTAGTCAAACAGGTGCTGTGGAGAGGGGACGTGTGGAAGCAGTTGATTTCTCTGGTGACTACATCCATTCTTTATACTCTTCCAAGACTTCTAACATGATGACACTTTTCCCTCGTATTACCACTATCCCAATATTGTTCTATTGCCCACCAGTTGCCATCTCCACACATTCATCTATCACAAGATTCATAAAAGGATCAAATCCCTGCAATATTCCTTGGACATGTCTGCCACCATTTAATTTCAATAACTTCTTGTCCATAAATTTTTTAACTCAAGAGGGTGAGCTTTGTTCATGGTGTCTAAGTGAGCTCAAATATACCTCCTTAGAATATTTTTTTTTTTTTTTTTTTATATTTTATTGAGTTTTTACAGAGAGGAAAGGAGAGAGATAGAGAGTTAGAAACATCGATGAGAGAGAAACATCGACCAGCTGCCTCCTGCACACTCCCCACTGGGGATGTGCCCCCAACCAAGGTACATGCCCTTGACCGGAATCGAACCTGGGACCTTTCAGTCCGCAGGCCGACGCTCTATCCACTGAGCCAAACCGGTTTCGGCAGAATATTTTTTAAAAAAACATCAAGCCCTGACCGGTTTGGCTCAGTGGATAGAGCGTCGGCCTGTGGACTGAAAGGTCCCAGGTTCGATTCCAGTCAAGGGCATGTACCTTAGTTGTGGACACATACCCTGTGGGGAGTGTGCAGGAGGCAGCTGATCGATGTTTCTCTCTCATCGATGTTTCTAACTCTCTATCCCTCTCCCTTCCTCTCTGTAAAAAATCAACAAAATATATATATAAAAAAAAAACATCAAGTAAACTATAGTACCTAAAGCCTGCCAGTTTTTAGACACTGTTTGACTATAATTTTAGACTGGAAAGAGGGAAAAATGTGGTCAGATAAACTGGTTTTGACCTAGTAAGTCCATATTTAGGAACTAATCTTATAAACATACTCGAGGCCCTGTGCATGAAAATTTGTGCACTTGGGGTGAGGGGGTGTCCCTCAGTCTGGCTTGCACTCTCTCGCAGTCCAGGAGCCCTCGGGGGATGTCCGACTGCCTTGGAGGTGGGAGAGGTTCCCGCCACCACCACGGCACTCGCCAACCATGAGTTCGGCTTCTGGAGGAGCAGTGCTCCCACTGACCACCAGGGGGCAGCTCCTGCACTGAGCACCTGCCCCCTGGTGGTCAGTGTGCATCAAAGCGACTAGTTGTTCCACTGTTTGGTCAACTTGCATATTAGCTTTTTATTATATAGGATTTGCAATGCAAAAAGATGTATGTACAAATATATTCACTACATTTTTGAAAACAAAAAGATACTACATGAATTATAATAACCAAATTATATATTAAAATGGCATTGGTTTAGTAAATTATGGAACAGAATACCACAGAGCTTTTAAAAAGAAAGAAATCCATATGATCTGACTCAAAAGGATGCCATTTCATATTGCCTCAAACAATTTCTTGGGAAAAACTAACAATTCATATAAATACAACCTTTAATTTCTCATGGATAAATCTAACAAACTTTATCATTTTTATCCATATTGTTCATCTGCCCTCCAGTAAGGTTTACCAACTTATTCTTAAAGCATTATTTGAAAGTATGTGTCCTCACATATCCAATTATAAACTATCAATCTTTAAAACTGTTGTCATACGAGCAGTCAAAAGTAATTATCTCTGATTCTGTTTGCCTGTTTTTTAATACTACTAAGAATGAATTTGCTGGCCATCAATATTTGTTGCTTTAAGAACTGCCTGAGCTCAGCTGGTGTGGATCAGTAGTTGAGTGTCGACCCATGCACCAAGAGGTCACGGGTTCGATTCCTGTTCAGGGTACATGGCAGGGTTGTGAGCTCAATCCCCAGGTGGAGAGTGTGCAGGAGGCAGCCAACTGATGTTGATGTTTCTCTCTTGTAGATATTTCTATCTCTCTCTTCCTGCCTCTCTCTCTAAAATAAATAAAACATATTTTTTAAAAACATCAAAACTACCTATCCTCTACCCATTTTTCTAATTTGATTACTTATCTTTTTGTTATTGAGTTATAAGCCTAGGTATTCATAATAATAGCCTTTTATAAGTTACAAATATTTCCCCAACCCATATTTTAAATTTAGTTATTTGCATGTAGAAACAACCCACTTTTAGTAATTTTTTTATGCTTTCTACCTGTTGCATCACACTTAGAAGAGCTTTCCTCAGAACAAGATTATATGAATATTGATCTACATTTTTTGTTATGCATTATTTATTTCTACATTTACATTTATAAGCCTTCTGGAATTTCTTAGGTCTAAGTTTATTTCCAGATGGCTAGAGACCAATTATGTCACAATTAATGAACAGTCTTTCTTTCCCACACAGATGTACCACCAATTTTATCATGACTAAATTTCAAATGTATTTGAAACCATTTCAGAACTATGCTTCCTGATCTGCTTACACCGTATCATTTAAGTTCTATTAAGTTTAGAATATGTTCTACCCCCTAGTAAGTAAAGGTTCTCTGGAAACTTTTCCGTAATTTTCCTTAGTATTATTACACGTTATTCTAGGATTACTTAAAACTAATTTTAAGGCTTAAAAAAATCTTCTTGAGGATTTTGCTTGTGATGGTACAATGATCTTATATTTAGAAATAAATGACATTTTGTTGAGCCTGCCTATTTAAGAAATGTATGGATGCCTATTTATTAAGTCTCTTAGAAGAATTATGTTAAGTGTGCTTCGTTTAAGTCCAGCAGATTTCTTAATAAATTTATTAGTCATCATGTTACCTGCTGTTACTATGAATGGGATTTAAAATAGCAGTTAACATTTATTGAGCACTTATTTTATGCCAGGCACAGTGCTAAACAAACTTCATTATTTAATCCATCAACTCTATGCCTTGTTCTATAGATGAGAAAACCAAAACACAAAGCTTAAGTAACTTGCTGGATGCCACATAGCAAGGAGTGAAAATCTGAACTTGGTCTGGCTCCAAGGAGGATTCCTTCCATTAAATACTCTAAGTAGGTAAATTTTATTTGTGTTTTCCAAAGTACAAAAACAAAGGACTCTACTTCCAACATAAATTTGCATTTGAGGGAGAAAAACACCAATAAAAAATGGGAGTTCATAACTATAACGTGCTCAACCTTCTAAATAGTCCATACCTTCCCATCAAGAATAGTCTCCCATGTTGCTCTTTTCTTGCTTATTGGACATTCTTCCATTTCCTGCATGGCTACTTCATACTCCCCATCTAAAAGCTGTAAGCGCCTGTTAGACAAACACATACACTTTAAAGTAACCTGTGTTATTATTGTAAGTACATAAATTCTATATCTTTAGATTTATAAAGCATTTATTAAATTTATAAACTAGCTTATATACCAAACAAAATTTTAAAATATACCTATACTCCATTCTTGACACAAGCAATTTTAATGGTTTCCACTCTTAACTACTATTACTATAGAATTATTTTATTAATGCAGCCTCTCAGATATAACCTTAAACATTTAAAGTATAATATACCTATGGCCTCAAAACTTAGCAAGTTTTAAACACTAAGTATAAAGTATGTGTGCAGGCTTTACTTGTAAAAATGGGATAGTGTTATAATACTTGCCTTAGGGGACTACTAAGAATTATGCTTCTGTTATTTTTAACTACTGTAAATATTTGAAATAGAGTTCCTGACTTTTATACTTGACCAATAATAAAAAAAAATTATGATTACAATGACGACTCTAATAACTATAAGATCCTGGGGGCACCTGGCACATATAGGTGCTCAATAAATATTTCATGGGTAAATGAAGTACCAGCTGAATAAAAAAACCAACTAAATTATACCCATAGTATAGTTTTAATGTGTGTGTGTGTGTGTGTTTTTGTGTATATATATATGTGTGTGTGTATATATATATATAATTTACATTTTTAAACACTGGTAACACTATACTAAATAGCATTCTTCAATTATGCTCAACAATTAATTATATATAGCAAGAAGAACCTGGCTCCTCATCATCAGTCTTAAGAAAAAATCTGTTAGGTGATAACAGCTAACATTTATCGAGTGCTTACGATGTGCCAGGCACTATTTTCAAGATTTTACATAGTTGATTTAATCTTCCCAACAGTTCTATGAAGATGCTATTACTCCATTTTTCAGAAGAAAAAAATGAGGAACAGAGAGGTTAAGTAACTTGCCTTAAGATGACACAGTAAGTAGCCAGAACTAGCAATTAAATCCAATCTGTCTCCAAAGACTGACTCTTAACACAAATGACTTTGAGACTTAAGAATTTTTGTCTTGCCCTAGCCAGTTTGTTCAGTGGTTAGAGCAACAGCTTGTGCACTGAAGGGACCCGGGTTCAATTCCAGTCAAAGGCATGTACCTCGAGAGCAACTAAGATGGCGGCATAGGTAAACACCGGGAAATTGTCGCCTCACACAACAATTGAAAATTACCGCAAAGGACTGAGCAAACATCATCCAGAACAACAGGAAGGCTGGCTGAGTGTAAATTCCACAACTAGAAGGAAAGAAAAGCACGCTGAGAGCCAGAGGCGCTGCGGAGGTGAAGTGCAGAGGTACAGCAGCGCGCGCGCGCGAGGAAAGGGGGTGGCGCCTGAGGACGCGGCTGTCTTTTTGAATCACAAACTCCCGAAGGCTCTGAACTCCGGTTCCGGGAAGTCTCTGGGGACCCAGGTCTCATACGGGGAGAAGCTGGGGAGAAGCTGGTCTGTCCGGCAGCGAGCGAACTTGAGGGCGGCTTTCCCTCAGAGTTGCTTGCAGCCGTTACCGGAACACTGAGACGCGCGACTCCGGGCGGAGAATCGGCCATGGCCGCTTTCTCCGCCCTCTGACTCCCTGAGACCCCGCCCCACCCAGGCTGCGGCAGAGGCTTTTGCATGTGAATGTACCTAACTGCAGCCGAACCAGGCAGACCCTGAACTTCCAAGAGAAGGCCCAAGGCCCCGCAGCGGCTTGCATTGCTTCACAGCTGAGCCTCTTCGTGGCTCCTGCTGTGTGGCCTCAGGCAGAGGCTGAATTAGCACCTCCTTAGATCCAGGAGCCACTGTACCCAGTGGTCAGAGGGGGTCCATCCAGACTGCAACTCCTCAGATCCATAAGGGACACACTCAAGGAGCAGACTCAGTGAGCACCAAAGCCCCACTGAAGCAAGTCTTGCCCCAGAAGGGTGTCTTCAGCACAGAAGTTCTCCCACTTTAGACACAGCTAATTCTCACAGCCAATTGGCCTGGAGGTCAATTCCTCCCAGTGATTCTACAACAACCAAGGCACCAAGAGTGCACCAAGAGTGTCCACCCCAGGTAACTGGGGAGGCTGAGCTACTGGGCCCTACAGGTCACCTGGCGCACAGGGCCACTCTATCAGCACAGGGAAGCTGCCAAAATGCGGAGACAAAGAAACAGGTCACAAATGGCAGAAATGGAGGAAAGCAAACGATTGGATATAGAGTTTAAGGCCACAGTTATAAGGTTTTTCAAGAATTTTATGGAAACCGCCGATAAATTTAATGAATCCCTCAATAAGTATAGGGAGACCATGGAGGACATGAAAAAGGACCAACTAGAAATTAAGCATACACTGACTGAAATAAAGAATAATTTACAGAGATCCAGCAGCAGAAAAGAGGGTCCCAAGAATCAAGTCAAAGATTTGAAATACAAAGAAACAAAAAATACCCAACCGAAAAAGAAAAAAGAAAAGAGATTCCAAAAATATGAAGATAGTGTAAGGAACCTCTGGGACAACTTCAAGCGTACCAACATCAGAATTATAGGGGTACCAGAAGGAGAGAGAGGGCAAGATATTGAAAACCTTTTTGAAGAAATAATGACAGAAAACTTCCCCTACCTGGTGAAAGAAATGGACTTACAAGTCCAGGAAGCGCAGAGAACCCCAAACAAAAGGAATCCAAGGAGGACCACACCAAGACACATCATAATTAAAATGCCAAGAGCAAAAGATAAAGAGAGAATCTTAAAAGCAGCAAGAGAAAGACGGTCAGTTACCTACAAGGGAGTACCCATACGACTGTCAGCTGATTTCTCAACAGAAACCATGCAGGCCAGAAGAGACTGGCAAGAAATATTCAAAGTGATGAATAGCAAGAACCTGCAACCAAGATTACTTTATCCAGCAAAGCTATCATTCAGAATAGAAGGTCAGATAAAGAGCTTCACGGATAAGAAAAAGCTAAAGGAGTTCATCACCACCAAACCAGCATTATATGAAATGCTGAAAGGTATTCTCTAAGAAGAGGAAGAAGAAAAAGGAACTCTTACCATTTGCCACAGCATGGATGGAACTTGAGAGCGGATAAATACCACAGGATCTCACTCATTTGTGGAATATAATGAACAACATAAGCTGATGAACAAGGACTGATCCAGAGACGGAGAGGCATTGATTGGACTGTCGGGACTTGGAGGGAAGGTAGGGGAGGGTGGGGGTAAGGGGGAAAGATCAACCAAAGGACTTATATGCAAGCATATAGGCCTAACCAATGGACATGGACAACGGGGGGGTGAGGGCATGAGCGGGGGTGGGGGGGGTGGGGGGTAGAGGGTAACGTGGGGACAAGGACACATATGTAATATCTTAATCAATAAAAAAATATATTAAAAAAAAAAAAAAAAAAAAAGGCATGTACCTCGGTTGCAGACTCAATCCCCAGCCCTGGTCGGGGCACATGCAGGAGGCAACCAATCGATGTGCCTCTTTCACATCGATGTTTTTCTCTCTGCCTCTCCCTCTCCCTCTCCCTCTCCCTCTCTAAAAAAAAAAGGAATTTTTGTCTTTATGCTGTACTTGAATTTATTCCTCTTCAATAGAATGCAAAGCTATTTTAACAATATTTTAAAAAGCTAATTTTATTTAAATAGGTAACATATTCATATACTTCTAAATTGAAAAGAAGCTTCCCTCATGCATCTACATAGGTATATAATATTCTATTCTGATTGTATATTTGATAGGTTCGATCAAATTTACCTTCCTACCAGTAATGTATGAAGCCCTTCTCCCCCAAAGCTTGATCAATAGTGCTTTTTATTTTATCTCTGCCAAACTGGTAAGTGAAAAAAATTACATCTCAATGTACTTTTATATACAGATATCTTTTAATTGCGTAAGAACCATACATATATAATTGTGTGTAAACATCTTTATCATATCTCTTGCCCATTCTTCAAGGGCTGTGGTATTTTTCTTTTTACTTAGTATGATCTTTTTGTATTACAGGAATAAGACATCTATAGTATGAGTTAAAATTAATTTCCCTGACTTTCATTTGTTACTTTTCTGCTTTCAGAAGTAATTTTATATTTTTGCTCAATATGTCATACTTTTTCTATATATTTTTTTGAATTCTGATTATTCTTTAAGAAGACTTTAATTTCTGAGACTATAAAAAGAATCTTTACACATCTAACTCCCCAGATCTTGGCTTGCAAATACTTTACTAAAAGGAATCAAGATTCCTTGAAGAAATGGCTAATTCCAGAGCAGAGGTAGAAAAAGGAGAATGTAAGCTGGAAATATTTTACTACCCTAGAAAATAAGGAAAAACAAACAAAATAAAACAAAAATAATACTGAAGTCAAAAGAACACAGGAGCCTGCTTAGAGGTGCTTTTCCTGACCAAATTTGGGACAATTTGTACATTAAAATGAATAACCACATGAACAGATTAGACCAGATTGAATAAAAATAGAATTTGTTAATTCACTCGCCCCTTTGTTATTTTAAGTTGAGGGAAGGAATGCTCTACTTTATAGGAAACTGCCAATAAATGTAGAAGAAATGATAGAAAGTTACCAATTGGCAACTGTCATGAGAATAATTCATTTAATCAAGAATCCTCAATGGATGCCATACTGCTGGGTAAAAAGACATTTACCCAGTTTCATGTATTACCACAGAAATTACATACTGATTAATTACAGAGCTCAGCTGTTAGTGTGTCTTATCAATGCGACATGGTTGTAGGTTCAATCCCTGAGCAATCTCAGGGTAACCAACTGATGTCCCACTCACACATTGATATTTCTCTCTATCTCTCCCCATCCCTTCCACTCTCCCTAAAAGCAATCAATGGGAAAATATCCTCAGGTAAGCATTACAAAATTAATTAATTAATTAATTAAGTAAGTAAGTAATTAAAGGTAAAAGGTATTGTATAATGGAGAAATATGGTGATACCTCCTTAATCAAGTTATCAAACCTATACTATCTGTTTGTGATGTGCAAAGAACAACACTATTTAGTTCCTGCTCAAATGTTTAACCTGAATATATTCATTAAGAAACCAACCACAAAAGTCCAAATTGAGAAAATTCTTCAAACCTACAGGCCTATACTTTAAAAAAAAAGTGTCACAAAAGGCAAACAAACAAAACTGGAGAACTATTCCAATCCAAAGGAATCTGAACAGATATGGCAACTGACAAATAACTACAGATCACAGTCCTCAATTGGGGGTAAATGACATTATTTGGGTTAATTGGGGAGACAGTACTATATTATGTTAAATTTCCTTAATATGATAGGTGTATTGAGATTATGGAGGGAAATGTTCTTTTTTTTTCTTTCTTTTTTTCTTATTGCTTAAAGTATTACAAAGAGTATTACATATGTCTCCTTTTTTTCCCCCCGCCATTGACAATCCCCTGGCCTCCCCTACCCCCCAGTGTCTTATGTCCATTGGTTATGCTTATATGGAGGGAAATGTTCTTGTTCTTAGGAGACACATCCTGAAGTATTCAGCAGAAATGGAGTATCACAAACTTTCAAATCATTCATAAAAAACAAAAGTATACACTTACAAATAAAGCAAATGTGGTAAAATGCTAAAAACTGATGAATTTAGATGAAGGCTCTATGGGCATTAATTACCTGTATTGTTCTCACAACTTTTTTGTAAGTTTGGAAATTTTCAAAGTAAGTTGAAGGGAAATTCTCCCATGGTTTTTTCATAGTTTTTATCATTAAATAAAAAGCAGTAGTTCACATGTACATGTTAAAAAATGTTAACATATATATATGTAAGGTATAATATATGTTAATAATTTTAAAAATAATTCAACATATCTCCCCATCCTGCCTAAAATAGAACATTTACCAACATCAATAAAGCCCAGTGTGCCATATCCTCATTGCTCCTCCCACATGATTGTTATTTTCCATTTAAATCTTTGATCCACATTCAAATTTCCGACTTTAAAAAGACACTATATTTGTTCTGCCACAGTAATACTGTGATATTAAGTGATATATTCTAAGGCAATATGGTACCCAAATTTTGTGGTATTATTCCTAATCATCTCTGCTTTCCTATTAAAAGTCTTATACCTTTCTTTACATGATGACTAGTAAGTGATAATATTACAGCAACAATCTAGTACTTTTTAAAGAATACAAGGAATGTACTAGTTGCTACACTCAGTTCTTTATCCTGTACTTGACAGTGAACTACCAGTGAGCAGCCTGGAGCCAGAAATATGTCATGCTATAGGTTTCACCTCCAATCCTGTCTAAAAAGAAACTGCAGCCCTGACCAGTTTGGCTCAGTGGCTAGAGCATCGGCCTGTGGACTGAAGAGTCCCAGGTTCGATTCCGGTCAAGGGCATGTACCTTGGTTGTGGGCACATCCCCAGTAGGGGGTGTGCAGGAGGCAGCTGATCGATGTTTCTCTCTCATCGATGTTTCTCACTCTCTATCCCTCTCCCTTCCTCTCTGTAAAAAATCAATAAAATATATTTTTTTTAAAAAAAGAAACTGCATTTGCCTCCTAGATCATCTTTTACTGGCAATTAGATGCTTTATTCCCAAATGGAAACTGTTGAGATAATTATAAATCCAAGTGTTCTTTGCTACCCTGTGCCAAATGTACATAGAGCCATACAATGATTACACACAATTTTCTTCCTTAATTTTAGTAATTACATAACCTCAAAATTTGCACAGGACCCACTGCATTCAGGTCTCTACTCATATATTACCCTCTCTGAGGCTTTCTGTGTAAAACAACCATTTATTCTCTTTATTTTTCTTCATAGCACTCACCACTAGGTGACATCAGTTGATATAATTTTTTGAAGGGGTGGTGTATGTTTCCTCCACTAGAAGCTCCATGAAGGCAGAGATTTCATTGCCTTTTCACTACCTAGAACAGTGTCTGACAGGGTAGACACTCAAAAACACTTGCCAAATAATCTTAACTGAGCCATTCAAATAGTTCCTCATCTGTGTTTATTGTTTTCTATGTGATAAAGAGAAAATATTTTTTTTTCAGTCATAAGAATAAAGAGAAACAAAGGCAAAGAAATAATATCACCACTACATTCTACTTTGGGATAAAAAGATGTTCAGAACATTATAGGAACCTCACTTGTCCATCAGCGTTACCTGTTTTTATCAAATACTGTCATTTGTGCCACAAATGTCTTTTCCCCATCTTCACGATTTCGTTTTCTTCTAGCTGGAAGTTCTTCATTGACATCTGAATTTGATAAACATTTCTCATGAATAAAATATTCAAACACAAATGTCCTATTTATGATATACAAGCCCTTATTTATCCCAAATGAGGTACAAATTACACTAAATTGCAGTATAATATGCAGACTTACATGTTTCTAATGTTTTTATGATATGTCTGAATGTCCTTTTTGACATTCATTGACAGTAACCCCATATCTATTGAGAATAATCTTGACCTTGCTAGGCAAGAAGAAAAAAAAAAAATCCTCCTCATTCATGGTTTTTTTTCAAGAACTTCAGATGGTACTTAAAGAGTCAAAGATTAGCCCAGCTGGTGTGACTCTGTGGTTGAGTGTCAACCCATGAACCAGGAGATCAAAGTTCAATTCCCAGTCAGGACACATGCCTGGGTTGCAGACTCAATCCCCAGGAAGGGGCATGCAGGAGGCACCGATCAACGATTCTCTCTCATCATTGATGTTTCTATCCCTTTCTCCCTCTTTCTGAAATCAATAAAAACATAGTTTTAAAAAAAGATTCTGTATACCACCTAAAAAAATAAAAAAACTCAAAGATTAATACATGGATTTTTCAACTGCAGAGGTGGGTGAGGTGGGGTGGGTTAGGCACCCCTAACCCCCGCATTGGTTCAACGGTCAATTGTATTTATTTGTATTTGTCTATCTCCATACTCTGAGTCTAGGTTGTGAGCCTATGGAGGATAAAACTGGGTGTTTTAACCAACTTTGTATCCCCAGCACCTATATGTTGGTTGAATGATTACCTCAAAGGTGGATTCAGAACTGTTGGGATATACATAACAAACAAGTGTAATAAAATATTAATTGCACAATCTATGTGTTGAATGTGAGGATATTGGTGTTCACAAATTCTTTTGACTGTTCTGTATATATGAAATTTTCCACAATAAAATGTTGAGGTGGTAGTGAATTTATTGTTTGCTGTGAGGCTAATTTGAAATTCCAATTTTTCCCATCCAGTGTTCAATTTATTATTTTACTGTATGAAGTATGTTTTGCCATGTAATAATGAGAACTTTACAAATTAAATACCTAGTACAGCACAATAGCCAATAGTCCAAGAGCCTGGGCAATCTACCATAAAATTATCTCATTAGACTATCAGAGACTTGCAAATAAAAGCAATGCTATTAGAAAACGTGCAATTCAGTTCTAGTTCTGCATCATTTTTTTCCCATGGAATGGCAGTCTTAAAAAATTATTACAATAACTAAAAAAGAAATAGTACAAAATTATGAATACTTTTAAGATACACTGGTTCAATAATTTTCATTAACCACTGTAATCTCCTATGATAAAATCTAGTTATATTATTAAAATAAAATTACCAATATTTTCATTGGTTTCTCCATTCATCATTCCATTAAACTCTCTTCTTCCTGGACGAGTCACTCTAAATAGCAATGAGTAAGACTTCACCATATGGCTGTTACTAGGTTCAAATTCATTACTGGAAACTGCAAGGGATGGGAAATTTCCAGGTTTTGTTTGATTGAGGTCAGGATTCAAAGGCACCTGCTTTTTACCTGTAGGAACTTGCCTTATTGGACAACTTACATCCTGCAAAAGTAAAGATTATTAAATTATATTTACTTATATACATGTAATCATTAGAATTACAATAAACTTGTAATCACAGCCATAGGAAACATGCTATAGGCCAACATTCCCAAATGACATACTAAAATTCTAACCATAGTTGTGAAATTGTGATGAAGCAAAAACAAAATTTGGAACAAGTATATTCCAAATATTAACACAAATGAGGATTTCTCCAATATGTTGAAAATAATGATACAGTATATCCAATATTTAGCTGATAATCTAAAAAGTTCTAAATTAGAAATATGAAATTAAAATCATGCTTAAAACATTAAACTTGTTAATCTTATCCCTTAAATTTTATATTTTAACAAAAAGATAGATAAGACCATTAGAAATAAAAAGAGAGAATTATAATCTCACTGTCAACATTATGACATAAGTAAATTCATTTAAATATGTTGTTTAACAGAGGCAATATTCATCTTACGAGTAACGTTCTGTAATCATTTAACTAGAATTATAGAGCATAGTTGAAAAATTAGAAGATGCAAAAGACCTTTAAAACAAGAAAATATAGTACATATTTCATTATAGCTTTTTAAAATGAATAAATGTTTATGGTTAAAAAAAAGTCTAATCCACAGAAGAGTATAAAATGAAAAATGTTTCTCACCCCCGCCCAGATCTTACCCTCCAGAGATGACTAATATTAGTATATCCATCTTTCCAAGAAAATATTTATGCCTATTATTTTTTAAACATAAAAAGGATACTATAGGTATATTCACATATTTTTGCCTAAATCAAAATATATATTAAAGAATTTTCACATCACTGCATGTCATGTGCATGGGAGTTGGAGGCACAGAAAGTGGTATTTCTTAACTGCAAAGTTTTTAATATATATTTACTCTGCCATCTCTTGTCACCTAAGTCTATCCATACCAATGCTCTAGCAGTTTTCAAGTCCTGTATCACCTTACTATGATTTTGGAAGAACATCAGCAATAGGAACTTCAAAATACCCAAGGACTTGACTTAAGGCTACTAAAAGTCTATCTGTTGGCTTTTGTGGGTTGTCCAGGAAATTTAACCATTATAACACTTGTTTTTATGACAATACTTTCATCTATATATATAAAGAGCCAGGGGCCATCACAACCAAATGGACGACCGAACAGGCTGAGTGGGGTGACAAGGCTGGCAGGGGGGTTAGTGAGGGACGACTAAATGACTGAGCAGCAGGCTGCGTCGGGTGACCAGGCCGGCAGGGGGGGGCAGTGAGGGGCAGCCAGGCCAGCAGAGAGGGCAGTGTGGGATGACCAGGCCAGCAAAGGGGGGCAGTGAGGGGCAACCAGGCCAGCAGGCAGAGGCGGTTAGGGGTGATCAGGGGGGCCAGCAGGGGAGGATCAGGCAGGCAGGCAGGTGAGCAGTTAGGAGCCAGCGGTCCTGGAATGTGAGAGGGATGTCCAACTGCATCCGGAAATCCCCCGAGGGGTCCCAGATTGGAGAGGGTGCAGGGTGGGCTGAGGGAGGGGAACCCCACCCCTGTGCATGAATTTTGTGCACCAGACCTCTAGTCTTATAATAAAAACTTGAAGCAATATACTAACAAGTTAATGGCTGATAACGCTGGTAACAGAATTTCTTAGCCTGAGGATTATTTTTGAAAAAAAGAATCCTTTTGGAAAAACTCTCTCTTAGCCCTTATTTAAAATTTCAATGGGTGTAAGAAGAGACTTAAGTAGTAGGGAAGTAATGGAATTTATGTCTTAAAATGTTAAAAGATAGCTTCTTCCCTTCATTGTCAGACTCCTACAGGAGAAAGTTTTATGCATATACCTACAGCCAGACTAGGAAAACACACAGATCTGGGAGGTTGGCAAAGAGGTTATCAGTTTTACAATTCAGGCACTAACATATTTAAAAGCTTTCAAGGTTTAAATACAAAGTATATACACATGAACATATTCAAATTTTAAAAATTATCTTACTTAATCTACCAATATCATTGTATATGTTACCTTTCTTTTTTTGTGGCAAACTTTCACAAGCAGGACTTCCAGAGTAACAGAATTTTGTTCATTTTCTGAGTTTTGTGATGGCTTATCTAAATAGGAAAATCAATATTTCAAATGTATTTTTAAAAATATATAAATACAGTACTCATTTTCCTAAGAAGTCTAGAAATTTCTAATAAAAAAGACTTCTCAGAATTTTATTCATTCTTTTCTTCCTTTTGTTAATCCTCGCTCGAGGATACCTTTTCCATTGGTTTTTAGAGACAGTGGAAGCGAGGGGGAGAGACAGTGAGAAGTATCTATGTGAGAGAGACACATCGACTGGTTGCCTCCACACATGCCCTCACTAGGGCTGGGGATCGAGCCTACAATTGAGGTACATGCCCTTGACCAGAATTGAACCCAGGACCCTTCAGTCTGTAGGCCGAAACAGACAGCAAAATTACAGTTATGAAGTAGCAACGAAAATAATTTTATGGTTGGGGGTCACCACAACATGAGGAACTGTATTAAAGGGTCGCAGCATTAGGAAGGTTGAGAACCACTGCAAGGAATCTCTTGGCTCACAAAGGTTTAAGTATTTTAATTTTAAAATATATTCTGTATTACCTATACCAATTAACAAATTATTTTCCATAATTTGACTTTATTTTTATTTTTTAAATGTTTTCATTGACTTTTTTAGAGAGAGGGAGAAGGAGAGGCAGAAATATCGATGAGAGAGAAACATCGATCAGTGGCTTCCTGCAGGCCCTTTACTGGGGATTGAGCCCACAACCTGGGTAGGTGCCCTGACTGGGAATTGAACCAGTGACCTCTCAGTTCATGGGTCGATGCTCAACCATTGAGCCACACTGGGCCATAGCTTGTCTTTAAAACCTAAAGCCTGAATAGGTCAAAATTTTAAATATTTACTCATTCATCATCAAGTTTCAGTATTATGTGGAAGAATTATAATAAATGAATCTATAAACATACAGAAATAAAATAATTTTTGTCCTGAGATTCTGAACAAGTTTTCACTTAAAAAGTGTGCATAAAATGAATTTGAATCAGTCTATTTGAAAGTTATATCCACGATAAAAATACTTTAATATAGCAAAAATAATCCAATGGCTAAAATCCAGTAACAAAACATTACTCTCCAAACATTACTTACTCCAAAAATAGCACCCTAATAATCTTTGTGTATTCATTCTAAGCAGTTTCAAATAGTAACTGCTAAACAAAAAGTCTTCATTTAAAAAACAAAGAAAAAATAATCAGATTTTAGAGACCTGGATGTTGGTTTTCTATCCTGGTTTCTTAGAAATATTATTTCTTCCCTGGTCAGCACGGCTCAATGGTTGAGCTCTACCCAGGAACCAAGAGATCACTGGTTCGATTCTCAATCTGTGCACATGCCCAGGTTGCTGACTCGATCCAGTTTCTCTATGGATGTTTCTATCTATCTATCCCTGTACCTTCCTCTCTCTCTAAAAGTCAATAAAAACATTGAAAAAATTACTTCTTAAAAAAACCAACAACCTATAACAATACTTTGAATAGACAGGAGAGGCAATGTATCTATCTGCTTCTTCCCAAATTCCACTAATTTGATTATAATGGGAAATTATTTTCTGGTAACAGAAGTATCAACAGAGTCTACTTTCTCATTTACTTAAGTGATATCAAGGAAAAATAAAAGATTCAAGTGAATGCAAGCAATTTTTGAACTTTACACATTTTGTCATGCAGACATGAGAACAGTTTAATCAAGCTACTTTTCAATTAATTTCAACTAATTAATTCAACTAAAATTAATTCAACTAAGTTAATATTAACTAACAAAATAATAATGATCAGTAAATATTATTCAATTACTATCAATTACTAACTTCAGTGATGGAGAATTTATGTATGTTTTACGTAAGTCTCTGGGAACAAAGGGCTCACAAACCTACAAAATTCAAATGGTAAGTTTCTTAAGTGTTAGAGTCCATGTACTTTAAAAGTATCACAGAAAACTAGATCATGATTAGAAATAAAGACTCTATAAGATTATAAATGGGTTAGGGGGGAAAAAACTACAAAAGTGCTACTCAAGTTACTCCTATACAAAATATGGACCAGATCTAAAGCAAAACTAGAAAGAAGTTACACTAGCTGCCAACAGAGATATGAACAGAGCTCATAATTGTTATGTAAAAGAAGCTGGCTATCAAACTGTTCTAATATAATCATTTTGTTTATTAAACTATTTGGGTTTTTTTAGTAGGACAGCAATCTTCTTTCTTTTTTAAAAAATATGTTTTTATTGATTTTGAGAGAGAAGAAAGGAAAGGGAGAGAAACATGGATGAGAGAGGAACATCTTTGGTTGGCTGTCTCCTGCATGGCCCCTACCAGGTAGTGATCCTGCAACCCAGGCATGTGCCCTGACTGGAAATTGAACTGGCGACCTCTTGGCACATGGGTTGACACTCAGAACTACTGAGTTACACACCACTTGGTGCTTTATTAAAATGTAGACTCTTAAACTCCATCCTAGTAGATCTGAGTCTTTGTAGGGCCCAGCTATATGGATTTTAAAAAGTGCCAAGATATTTTCAGAAGCACTAAAACTTGAGAACCACTAAATTTTAAAGAGTTGAAAGTTACATCTTCCACATCCCATTATTCACCACATAAAGCAATAATGGAAAGCATTGGAGAAGTCAACTAACGAGAAGTTTAACATTTATCAGACTCAACTTCTTTCCCATTTTATAAATTTACACATGAAGTAATATTTTAATTCACAATGGTTTTTTGTTAGAATGCCAATATGTTTAAAGTACATACCATTTTTGTGGAAGAAACCAGTAAAGGTAAGCTGCAGATGAGCTGACAAGCTAAACAGAACAAACAAAACATTTATCACTTTAATGCTCTATAATAAAAATAGCCTAGACTTTAAAATATAACATTAAGATCAAAGCTACTTCAGGTAATTTATAAGTATTTGATTTTCTTATTCTTAACTCGATTCAAGCCCATGACTCCATGTTTTCCATTAAGTATGACATCTGAAATAGTGTCTACACATTAAAAATCAAACAAGTATCACACACAAAAATGGAAACACCAAAAGATTAAGGCAGATAAAAATAGACCACCAAATGAGAGGCAAAGATAATTTACTATGCTTTAGTGTTATACCTATAACATAGGAACAAGTTTCCCTTCCCACCCCACAAATTTTTTTTTTTTAATAAGGGTTGCTGAGTCCATACAAAAGTGTCTGAATATTCCAAAGCTATGGAAATTCAACCTTCTAACAAATATAAAAAACCATCACTTTCTACTTCAATCAGGGGTGGGTATAATACACAATTACAAATGACTGTTTCAACATGTCATTTCCACTAGTAGTTTTAGAAGCAATAGAAAAGGAAAAAGAATAAATTACAAAGATCCTATTTGTTTTGAAAATATCTACTCACAATGAAAAACGATTAAGATGGGATAGAATAATAGAAACATCAACAGGCTTTTATAGTATCTTTAAACCACAAAATAAAACAATCTATTTGTTGATCAGAAGCCATTCATAACTTTCCAGAATAGTTTCTGTAGTGTGATAGATCCCAGACAGGGAGGGGGCTATAGAGAATAGATGTTGGAGAAAGGGAAGCATTACTGACCTCTTACTCAAGAAATTGACTAGGGTAATCCCCCTAGCTGGTTTGGCTCAGTGAATACAGAGCATCAGCCTGTGGACTGAAGGGTCCCGGGTTCAATTCTCGTCAAGGACACGTAACCTCAGTGCGTGGAAGACAACCAATCACATCAATATTTCTCTCTCTGTCTCTCCCCCTCCCTTCCACTCTCTCTAAAAATCAATGGATGAGGATTAATGAAAAAGAAAAAGAGCCCTAGCCAGTCTGGCTCAGTGTATAGAGTGTCAGCCTGCAAACTGAAGGGTCCCAGGTTTGATTCTGGTCAAGGGCACATGCCTGAGGGCCTGCTGGAGGCAGCCTATCAATGATTCTCTCCCATCATTGATGTTTCTCTCTCTCTCCCTCTACCTTTCTATCTGAAATCAGTAAAAATATTTTTTGAAAAAGGGCTGGAGGGGATAGATGGGGGGGGGGGGGGGACGGGACGGGACGGGACATATGTAATACTTTCAACAATGAAGATTTTAAATGAATAAATTTACTATGCCCTAGCTGGTTTGGCTCAGTGGATAGAGCATCTGCCTGTGGACTGAAGGGTCCTACGTTCAACTCCGGTCAAGAGCACATGCCCGGATTGCAGACTCGGTCTCCAGTGGGGGGGGCGTGCAGGAGGCAGCCAATTAATGAGTCTCTCTCATCGTTGATGTTTCTATCTCTCCCCCTCTCCCTCTCCTTTGGTCTCTGAAATCAATAAAAAAATAACACGAAGATAGTGTAAGGAGCCTCTGGGACAGCTTCAAGCGTACCAACATCCGAATTATAGGGGTGCCAGAAGAAGAAAGAGAGCATGATATTGAAAACCTATTTGAAGAAATAATGACAGAAAACTTCCCCTACCTGGTGAAAGAAATAGACTTACAAGTCCAGGAAGTGCAGAGAACCCCAAACAAAAGGAATCCAAAGAGGACCACACCAAGACACATCATCATTAAAATGCCAAGAGCAAAAGATAAAGAGAGAATCTTAAAAGCAGCAAGAGAAAAACAGTCAGTTTCCTACAAGGGAGTACCCATACGACTGTCAGCTGATTTCTCAACAGAAACTATGCAGGCCAGAAGGGAGTGGAAAGAAATATTCAAAGTGATGAATGCCAAGAACCTACAACCAAGATTACTTTATCCAGCAAAGCTATCATTCAGAATTGAAGGTCAAACAAAGAGCTTCACAGATAAGAAAAAGCTAAAGGAGCTCATCACCACCAAACCAGCACTATATGAAATGCTGAAAGGTATTCTTTAAGAAGAGGAAGAAGAAAAAGGTAAAGATAAAAATTATGAACAGCAAATACATATCTATCAACAAGTGAATCTAAAAATCAAGTGAATAAAAAATCTGATGAACAGAGTAAACTGGTGAATATAATAAAACCAGGAGCATGGAAAGGGAGTGGACTGACAATTCTTGGGGGGAAAGGGGTGTGGGGGGTGCAGGGAGAGACTTGACAAAAATCGTACACCTATGGATGAGGACAGTGGGAGGGATAAGGGCAGAGGGTGGGGTGGGAACTGGGTGGAGGAGAGCTATGGGGGGAAAAAAAGAGGAACAACTGTAATAAACTGAACAATAAAGACTTAATTTAAAAAAAAAAGTCTCCCTTTATTAAAAAAAAAAAAATTTACCAGTGAAAGAAAAAGGCATAAGGATCCATAAAGGGTATGGGGGGTGTTTTGGTTAAAAAAGATGGTGATAATCTAGGCATTCTTATAAGCAGGGGGAAAGAGTTATACAGGGTATCCCCAAAAATATATATACATGCTTTGAATAATTATAAAGGAAGTGTTCATGAAAATACATTTCATTTTCAAAGTGTAGTAGAATCTACAGACATTGTGTATCCATTTTTTGGGCACACCCTGTATAAAGACACTGAAGCAAGATAGTATTAAGGAGCATGTAATGATTGGAAATTACAGAATTTACACATATTGGAAAATAATACATTAGTCACAACCAGCCTATCCTATTCTTAGTTACTTCAGTTAAAAAACCTACAGGCTAAAACCAGGTTAATTTTGTTAAAAACACCATGTAATATTCCTTTCTCCAAATTTTCTAATGAGTCCTTAGCTGCCAAATCTTTTGTCTTACTGTTGTCTATAATATGGCTCCCATTTGTTTTATCGCCACTAAAGCCTTATATAGGAAAATAGATTACAATGATAACACAGAGTAGGAAAATAGATGAGAATGATTAATTAGAAACAGAAAATTCAAGTTTGAATTCTGGCTTTAGTTATTAGCTGTGACCCGAGATCTGTAAAATGAGAAAATGACCTCTCAGGACTGAGTCTTGCATAAAACCAATCCCCAACCATCCCAGAGCTTTATAATCAGAGAGCTTAATTTCCTTTATAAGCATTTCTATTTACCATTTTTTGTCACTATTTTTTTCACAAAGGTTCTCTTTCAACAATCATTTTATTTTATCAGCACCCCTAGAACCTAGCAGTATCTTGATAAATACTTCTATCAAGAAGAGGCACTTGATAAATACTTTTTATAAGGATAATGATATCCTCCCAAGAATAGCAAGATTTTTAAGGTCAGTGTAATTGCCATTACACTGTGGTACTTACAGTATTATTTACATTGGTTTTATAGGAAATGTGATTTTTAACCTCCAATTTTAAAATGCCAGAAACATCTTGACCTACTCCAGAAAATATTTTAAATCAATGTCGCTCAAAATGTAGTCTGCAAACTGAGGTCTCATTGGGAAAACTTACCACTCCACAACAAGGTAAGAAATTAAGAACAAGACTTTAAAAACTTTTATGGACATTTAATATTGCCATAATTTACAAGCATGTGATTAGTGTATTTACACAAGTATCCATCTACAAAAAGATGGGAAAATAAAAACAAATAGGTCCTTCACTACAGAGGGTCTGAAACAGTTTTTAAATGGTACATTTTGAGTTAAGTGAGATGCAAGCACATTCAGCCATCATTTTAACATTATTTCTCTGAGAAAATAAATTCCTCATTTCAATTACCAACTTAAAAAATAACTCTGGGGCCGAAACCGGTTTGGCTCAGTGGATAGAGCGTCGGCCTGCGGACTGAGGGGTCCCAGGTTCGATTCCGGTCAAGGGCATGTACCTGGGCTGCGGGCACATCCCCAGTGGGAGATGTGCAGGAGGCGGCTGATCGATGTTTCTCTCCCATCGATGTTTCTAACTCTCTCTCTCTCCCTTCCTCTCTGTAAAAAATCAATAAAATATATTTAAAAAAAAAAAATAACTCTGGGAATGTAATTTGCTATGCACATCTTCTCCTCCTCCTCTCCCTCTTAAAAGTAAACACTGATTTGCACCTACAATAAAAGTAACAATGAGGCCTAGTTGATCCCTTCCACAGGTGGTTTCATCAAAGGAAAAAGGCCAGTTTTCTTCCCCTTCCTGATTTACCCTCTTCCCTCTCTGATGGCTACTGTATTTACATCTTAATTAATTAAGCTAGATCAGAAAAAGGGGAAGGAAAAGAATCATGTAGGATTGATTAGTCAGGCATAATTGGTTTTAGGCTGTACAGAGTCCAGATGATCAGTAATAAGATATCAGATAAGAATTTGGTTCATCTTTGTTATGTGTTTCCTATCATATCTCCTGAGGAAGCAAGTAACAAAGCAATGGGAAACTAGATGAGGAATTTGAAATTCTGAGATAAGATTCCAAGCACAAATATCTGACAATTGTAAAGCAGTCGGTAGCATGAGGTTTATTTAAATTCATAAAGAATTAACATTTTTGAAATGAGATTCATATAGGAAACTCAAATTTTAATAATAGCCAAACACCACAGAAAGACCAAAATTTTCCTGCTAGAAAGAGACCAACATTAGTGCCTCTAGTTTGGTACACATTAATCTGATAGTGGCAAGTATAAGGTTTCATTTCTAGGGTCAAAACTTTATTACCTCATAACAGGACAAGTTTCATGATAAACTATTTGGCACCTACTTTGTTAGATGTTAGTTACCTAACTCTTCTTATACATTTCATGCTATCTATAATAATAAAAGCGTAATATGCTAATTAGACCGGATGTCCTTCCGGACAACCTTCCAAACCAGCTGTGGGCAAACTACAGCCCGCGGGCCGGATCCGGCCCATTTGAAATGAATAAAACTAAAAAAAAAAAAAAAAGACCATACCCTTTTATGTAATGAT